AGGTCTCCTGACAACCTAAAACAGTTGTTGTAAGCCTTACTCCACACTGCATGAGAACGCAAAGCTCTACCCAGTTCCTGGACAGCTCTGAGAGTTCATGCCATCATGGTCACTCTTGGTTTCAAGCTTCTATTTCCACATGAGTTTTCTGTGCTTGTAACAGTATTATTTCAGATATTAAACTCAGCCCCTTTTCATAATTGCCACCCTTAAAAAGAATCCATTCACTCAAGAGATGTCCATGCACTTTGCTGAAGTCTGGGAGTGGGAAGAGAAGAAAAGGTCAAACTGGACATCCATACAAAACTTCAAAATTGAACATGAATCTGTATTCATTGATTTGAAAAATATTTATTGAAGTATTTCAATAAATATTTAAGTTGAGTGCAAGTACTTTGTTCTGGGTATAGAAGATGCAGCAGGGAACAAGACAGCCTAACTCTTTGTACTCAAGGAAGCCCTACTCTACATGGGAAGACAAATGATATAAACAAGCAAAATGAGCAAGAGAATTCCACATAGTACTAAGTCAAGAGAATTCCACATAGTACTAAGTTCCATGAAGAAAGTAAGTGGGTTGCATGGTAGAGATAATATATGGATAGGAAGATGAGGCGATTTTTTTAAACCAGGGAGAGGTTGTAATCAGTAAATGGTTCTTGGAGTAGATGAATGTGGGGCTGACTCTCGAAGAAAAAGGAAAGGAGCAACCATGTGCTGGTGATGAGGGGTCCTGTAGTAAGGGAGTGTGTGATGGGTAATTTTACACACCAACTTGCCTGAGCCATGGGGTGCTCCAGTAGTTGCATTTGGTTAGACATTGTTTCTGGGTATGCCTATGAAGATGCTTCTGGATAAGATTCACATTTGAAATGATGATTCCCCCACCACACTGTCTTCAATCTGGGACATTATTCTGTTCCTGCCTTTGAAATCAGATCCAAAATGAAACCTATTCAATTCAAGTCTCCTGGCTTTAAGAGGTGATTTAAGTCCTGAGTACTCCATGCTCATGCCTGAGAAAAGGCCAATTTGGTTCCCTCTTCCTCTCTTACCTTTCTGCCTTTTGACAGGCAAACAGGCATCAAGGAGGCCCTTACTAGATACTGGCACCATGATATTGGGCTTCCCAGCCTGCAGAACTATGATCCAATAAACATCTATTCAATATAAATTACCCAGGGTCTGACTGAAACGGTACCACCAACTCTTCTGGGTGTGAATTTCTCAGCTGTATAACCATGCAAACAATTCCTGATAATTC